CTTGAATTCTCGTTGTTTTTAGAAAAACATAGTTGAATCTGCTGCTCACCAATGTAAAAAGTAGCCGCTGAAACGCCCTAGTAGGTAAATAAAAGTCTGATGTGTACATCACATGACTTCCTTGTACGGAATATTAAATTATACGAACTTTTTCCTGCATTTCATTTAAAATTCTTTCCTCGAATTTCATTCGAGATACATTTCTCATCCAATTAATTCAATTCTCACTTCACAACAAGGCAAATAATGTATAAAAACTCGAAAAATCTTCATTAAAATTGAAAGATATAGAAAAACATAAAACACTAAATACAGTTAAAACAAATAAAAGAAAACAATTTTTGTAATTAAAATTACTCGTACATTTCTTCGCAAAAACAAGCAATTCGGCCAGCAGGCAAGAAGGCAGATTTTTCGGTGCCAAAACTAAAGGTTTTCTTTTGGCCTCACTCGGTAAAAAGACACTGAAGGTACAAAAAGAATTAATTCACTATTCCGCTAAGTTTCAAATGTAAGCAAATATGGCTGCTATGACAAAAAAAAATTAGGCTTAGCCCCACTTAAACAATATTTGAAGTGTTCATAATTCTACAACTATTGTATGCAGATTAACTAAAGGCATTAATCGGAAGATAAAAATAACATAATTATATCATTTTTAAAGAAAAAATACACAATTTGACAACATATAAGATTAAAAAACTGAGCTCACTCTTCGCGCCTTATGTAAATTTTGATTTTGTTCTCTGCAAGAGGGCTCCTGCTAGCGCCATGCTATAACTATTGTACGAACTTGTTCTTCTCACGGCCAATAAACGCAATAACGAACGTTTATGTCTACTTTGCATACATTCTACATGGTCCGTCGATAGCCAGCGCAATACGTTAGGATGGCGTGTCAAGACATTTGAACGTTCTAATATAGAAGGATATTTCGTGCAAAGAAAACGGATTATTTTGTGTCTGGATTGTGAGAATAGCACCTGAAACATGGAGTCTATTTTAAAGCAAAAGCGAATCATTAAGAGTAAGTTGACTCGCTTAATTTCACAAGTAAATAGTTTACAAATTCAAGAAAATTCTTTTTCTGTCATTGAAAGTGTGTGAAAATGATGTTAGTGCATTGGGTGTTGAAGTGAACAGTTTAAACGATAACATCTTAGTACTTGTTCTGACGCAGAGTTTAATAAGTATGAAATAGAAATGCATGAACTGTTTTTCAAATTGGATGTATTAAAAATTACTTTAAAGGAAGAATCAAGAAAACTTACTAATTCAGGAAAAGATATAAAGAATGCTAAAAGAATGCTTTGAAACTTCCTCGCGTGGAATTGCCAGTGTTTACTTCTAATTATGTTGACTGGATATCATTTAGGGATTTATTTCTTGCCAGTGTTGGAAATAAATATTTCTTGCCAGTGTTGGAAATAAAGTGACAGTCAAAATTTGCAATATCTTAAGCTTTCTGTGAAAGGTGAAGCTGCCGTTTTACTACAATCAGTTCAAATTTCAAACGCGAATTATGAAAAGGCATGTGGAAAGCGCATACTGAACGTTATGAGAACGAAATAGAAATAACAAACGCAGCGTTGAATAAATTAATTTCACAGCCTGTTCTTAAACATTAATCAGCTTCAGGTTTGCGGAGATTAATTTATACAAGACAACAGTGTATTGATGCATTAAAAATCCTTAAACAGCCAATACAGCATTGGGATACTATGATTATTTTTCTGTTAAAATGAAAACTTGATCATGGAACACTAAGAGAATGGACGTTGAAGCAAACAAACGAAAACATTTCTGCTTTCGCTGAATTCAAACTCTAGTTGGGTAATTTATGCGTTCTTTGTAAGAGCAATTCTCATTCTCAATTATTTAAATGGGATAACTTTTAAAAACTCCCTATCAAAGAAAAATGGGATATTATTAAAAGGAATAAATTATATGCTAATTATTTGAAAGAAAGTAAAACGCATCTCATTTTTAAATGTCGTGGAGGCATATGTAAATCTTGTTCAAAGCCACATAATATAGTGTTATGTTCGAAAAATTCAAATGATAAAAAATTTCATACACCCTCGCAACTTATTATTATTGCTATTTAGTAGCTATTACTAGCAATAACGCCACGGTGCCCGTCACGCAGGCAGTTTTATTGCCTACTGCGGTTGTTTATGTTAAAGATATTAATGGCGATTTATGAAAATGCAGGATGTTAATTGAAACAGGATAGCCAGGGCTGATTTATTTGGGAGCGCTGTGTAAATTTATTGCAGCTAAAGCGTACTAGTGCAAATGTAAGTATAAATGGCCTGAGTCGCAAAAAATTGGAATTTCAAGCTCAGTTCAATTACAAGTAACATCACCATTTTATAAAAATGCAAGCATTTCAGTTAATGCATTAATTATAACCCAAGATTACATGTGACCTTCCTACATATCAAGTTGATAGGTCTGTTTTGACAGCTTTTAACACTTGCGGTTGGCAGATACAAATTGCTTAAAGCCTGGCCAAATAGATATTCTTTTAGGCGCAGATGTATTTGACGAGATAATGCTTCATGGACGTTTCAAAACTGTTCCGGGTCATTCGTTAACAGCCTTGGAATCAATATTCGGCTGGGTCATTATCGGAAAGACTAAAGAGTGTATCACAAGACAATTGTATCGAATCATGCTAGTTGTACCAATGTTCAGCTCCAGCTTGAAAAATTTTGGAAATTGGAAGAAATTTCGGACATAAAGCATTACACAGAAGAAGAAATTGAATGTGAAAATCATTTCAAGCGGAATTTTTCTCGTGATTCAACAGGTAGATTTGTTGTTAAGTTTCCATTTCGTAGAAATCGGGCAATGAACTTGGGTCATCAAGGGATGTTGCTGTACATCGTTTACAAAGCATTGAACGTCAATTTATTAAGAATAAATCTCTTTCAGTCAATATCACAAATTTATGGAGGACTATCAACAACTTGGTCATATGGAATTGATTCCAGAAAATGAAATTGATGTTCCAGCTAATTCTAGTTTTTACCTTCCGCACCATTCAGTTTCCGGATAAAAATGGTGATAAATTTCGAGTCGTATTTGATGGTTCTGCAAAATCTTCTAGCGGTATTTCTCTTAATGAGAAATTGATGGTTGGTCCACAGTTTGCAGATTGATCTGACAACATTAATTATTCGTTTCAGAATTCACAGAATAGCTATAACTGCAGATATAGAGAAAATGTACAGACAAATTATACTAAAAGATGCAGACTTTCAGAGAATAGTCTGGCGCGATTCACTTTATAAACCAATTCAGGATTTTCGATTAACTAGGATTGCTTACGGTACTGCATCAGCTTCGTACCTTGCGGTAAGATGTTTACAGCAGTTAGCCATAGATGAAGCAACTAATTTTCCTTTGGCTTCCAAGACATGTCTTAGGGACTTCTACGTTGATGATTTGATGTCCGGAGCCAGTTCAGTTACTGAAGCTATAAAATTACAAATGCAATTGAATCAGATGCTGTCACGTGCAGGATTTATTCTAAGAAAATGGGCTTCTAACAGCAAGAAGTCTTGAATTCAATTAATCCAGATTTGAGCTTATCAAATGTTTCTTTGAACATAGACAATGATGATACTGTAAAAACGTTAGGTATCCTGTGGCATCCAGCTTCAGATATGTTTTTATTCAAAGTCAATTCATCATATCCTGAAGTCTTAACCAAACGAACATTACTTTCAATAATCGCAAAGACCTTTGACCCTCTTGGATGGTTGGCACCGATCACGGTTCGGTATAAATTGATTATGCAAAGATTGTGGAAACATCAGTTTCAGTGGGATGAAAAGGTTCCTCCAGATATTGAATGTGAGTGGAAACAACTTACAGAAGATTTGTTATTTATTAAAAGTATCAAAATTTCACGATTCTTGTTGGTTGAATCAGATAACCAGTTTCAACTGCACGGGTTTTGTGACGCCTCAGAGAAGGCCTACGCCGCTGCAATTTATTATCGTTCTGTGTTAGATACTGGACAAATTAATGTTCAGTTAGTGATAGCCAAAACAAGAGTTGCACCACTAAAAACCATATCACTTCCCCGATTGGAACTTTGTGGAGCATTACTGTTGACTAAATTAATGGATTTCACCGGTAGGGCTTTAAATACTCCTATATCGCAAGTTTATTTTTCATACTGATTCCACTATTGTATTAGCCTGGATAAGATCTCATGCAAGCCGATGGAAGACCTTCGTCGCCAACAGAGTAGCAAAAATCCAGACTTTATCCTCTCCTGTCCAGTGGCATCATGTGAGTGGAAATGCTAATCCTGCTGATCTTGCAACCCGTGGTGTGTTATCATCTGCACTGGTTACTTCATTGTGGTTACGTGGTCCAGATTTATTGTATAATTTATTTCCTTTTAAGCAAGCATTATCTGCACCACTACTGAATGATTCTGTGCCAGAGCAAAGATGTGCTTTACAGTCTACAACTGCTGCCAGTCACTTGACAGACGCTCATGATTTATTTTATAAATATTCCTCTCTCACTAAACTTAAACGTGTTGTAGCATTATGTCTGAGGTTTGTAAATAACCTGTAAAATTCAGAAGATCAGGTAAGTGGATTTCTAAAAACAAGTGAATTAACTAAAGCTATGCATGTGTTAATTAAATTAATGCAATATGTTGAATTTAAGAATGAAGTTAACACTTTTAGGCAGAAATCAATCATTATCTGGTATACAAGCAAAATTTTATCTTTGAATCCTTTTTAGATAATTTAGGTATTCTCAGGGTGGACGGTCGCTTGCGACATGCAAACCTTGCATATGGTTTTAGGCATCCAATTTTGCTTCCAAAGAAGCACATTTTAACTCATCTCATTGTTAGACATTACCATGAAAGGCTTTTGCATGCAGGTCCACAACTTATGCAATCTTGCATTCAAACAATATTGGATCATAAATGGTAGAGCTGTTATCAGAGATTTAGTTAGGAAATGTATAAAGTGTTGCAAATTAGAGCATCTGTCACTAATCAATTGATGAGCGATTTGCCGTCTAGTCGCGTTTCGCCTGCTCCTGCGTTTTTGCGCTGTGGAGTGGATTACGCAGGTCCTTTTCAAATTAAAGCAAATAAGGGTCGAGGCTCTAGGTCATTCAAGGCATATATAGCTCTATTTGTTTGTTTTACGACAAGAGCTATTCACCTAGAATTAGTGACTGATCTTTCAGCAGATGCTTTTATTGCAGCTCTTAAGAGGTTCATTTCCGGCAGAGGCAAAAGCAGTGATATATATAGCGATTGTGGTTCCAATTTTGTTGGAGCAAAACGCAAACTGATTAAATTTGAAAGGCTTGCTAGGTCTGCAACTTATAACCAAAATGTTAGCAGATATTTGGTTGATAATGGCATTAAATGGCATCTAAACGTTCCAGGTGCGCCACATATGGATGGACTCTGGGAAGCTGGCATAAAATCAACAAAATACCATTTAAAACGAGTAGTTGGTGAGGCGAGATTGACATATGAAGAATTTGAAACATTTCTCACACAAATAGAAGCTTGTCTTAATTCGCGACCTTTAACAAGTTTGTCTAATGATCCAAATGACTTGTCAGCATTAACGCCTGGTCATTTTCTTATTGGGTAGATCATTAACAAGCATTCCTGAACCAAATTACATTGAAGTTTCCCATCTCACCAGATGGCAACATATTCAAAAATGGTTCAACAATTTTGGAAGCGTTGGCACAAAGAATATCTGTGTCGATTACAACAAAGACCAAAATGGCTTTTGCCAACTAAAAATCTTCAAGTTAATGATCTGGGTCTCATAAAGGAGGATAACTTACCTCCAACTAAATGGAAAATGGGTAGAATTACTCAGTTACATCCTGGTCTTGATAGTGTTGTTAGGGTTGTGACTATTAAGACTTCAGATGGCATGGTTAAAAGAAATATTACAAAATTGTGTCCATTACCAATTTGAGTTTAATTCATGTATTATAAATTAAGTATTATATCATAATTTTAATATTGTATTGTGTTTTTAAATTTACTGAATTTTAACCACTAAATGTTGAAATAGTATTTCAAGGTGGGCGGCATGTTCGCGCCTTATGTAAATTTTGATTTTGTTCCCTGCAAGAGGGCGCCTGCGAGCGCCGAACTACTTGTATATCTATTGTACGAACTTGTTCTTCACACAGTCTAATAAACGCAATAACGAACGTTTGTGTCTACTTTCCATCCGCTAACAGGCGTTTTTCAAGATGGCTGACGTTTGTAGAAATCGCGCCAATAATTGCGCCAACGTAAATCGCCAAAATCCGTGCAACCGTCTACCAAGTAGCACCAATTAAAATTGCAGACATCAGTTTAGAAGAAAGGTCTATCCTTGCGGATGTTTCGCCAGCAGAATTCTCGAAAGCACAAGCAACTACAACTCATGATAATGTTCAACACCAAACAAAATTTATTATATCGCATACTGAAGGAACACAAGATCTGCAGAATTCGATATTCGAAAAACCTACTTCTATCAAGACGTTTTCTTCTGAGAAATTGCTTCCAAATAACCTTGCTGTAAAAATGATGTTCAATTATAATGCTGAATCAAATGCATATGCTATATGGCGTGCAATGTATAAGGAGACATTACCAGCCATTGGCGAGTTTTTTTGGATGAACTGACAAATCGTAAAGTCAGGAAAAAGAAATTGGGACCTCATCCAAATATAGTTGTAAATGTTGAAGAGTGTCCTATCTCAGTGATTTATTATTCGAGATCAGATCTACGGACACAGGAACTTTAGCATATGAAGTATATGGAGGAGCCAATCCTTTTTGTTCTGTAAACTGTTGTTTGAAAATGATTTTTGTAGCGTTTGGAATTATTTTTTGTAGATTTAAATTTGTTTGCATTGTGTGTTTCATTTTCAAAATGGTTAGAATGAAATGTTTAAGTCTTAGCATTTTGTAAACTGAAAAGGTACTTTGTGTAGATTCAAAATTTAATCTTTTGTTGTATTTTTGTTTGTTATGTTTATGGTATCTAGAAATAAGTGCAGAGTGAATGTAACTGGCTTCTCTATTATCACTTAAATGGTTACCACTTGTGTTTTGAAAGCAGTGAAATGTTTTTAGAATTTTCTTTATGAGGGGAGGAGCTGTGATAAGGTTACATAAAAGAAGAAGAGACTGAAGATTAATATGGACAAGAATGTCACGTGAGAATAAGCTGAAAATTATTATTTTTTAACTTACAAACACGTTTTCAATAGTTGTTAAATAGTCTTTATTAAAATAATTAAATCGTTGGCAATGTTAAAAACGCAAGCTCGAGAACCACGAATTGCTCTCGCACGTAAAATGTATAGAATTTGATTTTTTGATATAGATAGGTTTTTTCTCTGCAGAATTGTATGTAGCCATTTTTTTTAGCATTCAATAAATTTTATTATGATGTGTTTGTTTTGAACCTGATGTCACAACCCAGGTTTTGCATAGCGGTTTCGGCCATTACACCACAATATGATAATCTGATAGTTTAATACCCTCATACGTGCTACCACCCATTTTGCTGGCGCCATGGTTAACCCACACAAGCAAGTTTTCTTCACAATCACTGAATATGTAAGATGCCCCCTCTTCTTTTTGGCGTGTGTGTGTAACTGTATATCTTTTTCGAAAGATAGAAAGGCAATTAAAAAAAAATTACTCTGCCACTGGAATAAGTTTTATCCATAAAACTGATAATAAAATACAATGAAAAATTCAGCGATAATAATAATAATACCAGTTACCGTATTTAAATGTTAACTGAAGTTTCATATAATGTGTGTGAATAACAACCTGTTATACAGAAGGTCAATAACGCGAAATAATATCGATATTATCAATAAAATTCCTCATTTAAAATGACAATTAGAGTGCTTAACATTTTGTAAAGAAAGAGCTAACTCTTATTTAAAGGCATACATTAAGCTTTATAAACCACTAGGAATTTTATTTTGGAGCAGAAGATGTGAAAAACGTGCAATATCCTTGGCGGAATTCGAACTCCTGACCTCCCGATTGCTAGCCGGACATGCTTCCAGTTACATCGGGAAGCTACACAGTAAAGATGGCAAAGTTTAAATTGCGCCGGACCTTTGCTTCGGTACTTTTCAGGTTTTGAGGTAAATCGTTAATCTAGCCGGAGTGGACCACAATTTCAGCGGACAAATTGTGTTTTAAAAATAAATATGTCTTAAAAAATCGATTTTAACTTCTCAATGCATACCTGTCATTCTTTGGGGAACAAACACTTTGACGCATATTGGGACTTTAAGGGAGAAAAAGCCCCCCTCTCCTCCATCCACATGTCAAAGGCATATTCTCCAGGAAGTACAATAAATTTATGAGAACGGGCAAATTTTTCGTTCCCGAAAATATTAAGTGATACCCTGGTCATAGACGTCCAGCTCTAGTGACTTCCCACTGAAATGGCTCTGCAGACTTTTTGGACGATGTAACCAAATTAGGGAGACGAAAACTGTCGCTTGTATACAGCCTTACGTTTACTCTCATATTGTTATCGGATCGGATTTGGGTGAAACTATTTCCCCCTGTCTCATTCTGTTTGACAGCTAGAATTATATAGGCTGGATGTCAAAGTCAGAAAGTGCTGGACTCTTCTTTGTTTTCGGAGATGCACATCTCCGTTAAAATGTCGGGTAAAAAAATTTAATAATTTCGGCTTTCTCTCACAAATGTGAATCGAGAGAAAGCTAAAAACGGTATTAGAATAATTAAGACAAAATAACACGCCGAACAAACACTAATTCAGAAGTCAAACAACAAAAATTAGCGTTACACTCTCAAAATTTTCACAGGACCAGCCTCGATAGTTTTACCGAACCACCATCCTCAGCTGCAAAACCGCAAATGCATCTGCGGTTTTTCAGCTGAGGATGGTGGTTCGGTAAAACCATCGAGGCTGGTCCTGTGAAAATTTTGAGAGTGTAACGCTGATTTTTGTTCTTTGACTTCTGAATCAGTATAAGAATATAGAAAGATTTCCATTTTTACTGTTTATAGCATTCTCTCTGTTCGCATTACTGATGTTTGCATCGTTTTACCTTTTTCCATTGGTGTGCTAGAAAAAGAATAGTTTTCATTTGTATTATCCCTTGAAATAGAACGTTATATTGTATTTTCAAAACTTAAATCTAGCTTGTAACCGGCTGAGCTATTTCTTAGTTTCTGAAGGAAATTTTAATTCCAGTCAGAGTCAGCCCCAAATAAGACGAAATCAAATACATTTTTTTATTCAACTATTTATCATTAATTGAATAATTTATAGAATTTGTATTTATTTCTTTACATTTTATTGAATTTTAATTTAATTAATTATTTTAATTATTTTTTAGTTTATAATTTTATTAGCCATTTTATTTATTTATATTTTCCCTCCTTCGGCCTTCTGTGTAGGGTTTCGGCACTTTTTTAATTGTAAAAATTAAGCCCTGAAGGAGGAAGAAAATACCTTACAAAGCTTTCCAAAAGTATAAGTCAAGCAAAAACTTTGGATTATTCCGATGGAAATTATTTTCACAAATCCTCTAATTTTGCAGGCACCTTTCTTTTCTAGAAACCGAAAGCGCAAAATTCACTTGGATTGTATTAGAGAAAATCCAAAGCAATTGTATTAGAGAATATCCTATACCATTTACCATCCTCAACTCTCTCTCGCGGGCACTTAAAATTTCTGCCAAAACAATGCAATTAAATAATTTGAATCACTACATATTATTTAAGTACATCAGCACAAAAAAGAGTTTAACATACAAATGTTTTAAAAAAATCAAGAAAACATACAAATATTTCGTTAGTTTTCTCAAATAAGAACAAGATTTATTGTTGTCAACTCATGAAACGAAGTTTTTGCTGTTGAATAAAATTAAAATTCAATAAAAATTTCAATTTTTAATGATCCGATTTTCGTTTCTGCATAATTTTTTAAAGATAAAATAGTATAAACAAAGTACACGAAATAAAAAAATAAATAAATAAAAACATTTAAAGCACATTGTTACGACTAGAACAAAATTCAAAAAACAGAAATATATAGAGGCTTGCAATGTATGTGTTACTATAAATTTCATCCTAAGCATTAGGTTTTATTTTGGGCGCAGTTCATAATACGCACGAGAAGTGACGTCAAAAATTTTGCCATCGACCGTTACAGGAGAGTTGTTTTGTTAATGACACTCTTAATATGAAAAGCAAATACAGAATAGAATTATATGAATCTGCTTTTTACATTTTTGTTGCAAAATACCGTTAAGATATCCAGACAAAATAGCTTTTTAAATGCCCAACTTTTGTTATGTTAAAGAAAATTGCACTTTATAACATTGCAGAAAAAAATTAAAAATCTTATATACACTGCCGACAGGCAACAATACAATATCTAGTTATAACGAGCAATGTTTTTTATCCCCACGGAAAACAATACTACTTTATCTACTATTAATAACACCTCTCTCGAGGTATTAACAATTTTTACACCTCTCCAGAGTGTTAATAATCATCTTCGAAATGCTTAAAAATATTTACTAAGCGGATCCATGCAAAGTTTTCACGAGAAGGTATGGAACGTTTAGT